CGCACCCCACATCGCATTCATATCCAGGACATATACCATATTCCTTTCATGCTATGGCATATCACATTGTACGTGGCTGGGTTGGGGGTATAGGATCCCCTTTTTCATGCTTGTTGTTCGCCTTTTTCAGCTTGCATTTCAATTTCAGTTTTGACTCGGGCTTAGCGTCAAGTTATTGTCATAGACCTGAATACATGGCCATATGTATATGCAGACAGACATAACGGGAGAAAGAGAGCGGGAGAGAGAGTGAGAGAATGGGGAAACCCAAGCTGCTGTTGGGTCTGCTCTAGCTTCATCCCATGGGTGCTCTGGTTCCTGGATCTCTTTCTTTATTCAGGCGGCCCATCGGCTGAGCCACTGTCCCCTGTCCCCTGTCCCCCACTCGCTGTTCATACATTCATTCTACTTACACACAGAACTCATCCGCCGTATCTCTGTCTATTATCTGTATCGGAATCCGCATTTGGATTTGGATTCGGATTCGGATTCGCAACTAACAGGCCCAGGCACATGCACAGGCCTTCCTTCCTTACTTCGTCTTTTCTTGATTTCACTCTCTCGCCCTCGCCCTCGCTCTCCGGATTGGATGTCTGCTTTAAAATTGATATTCCATTGACGTTTTGGCGGCGGCCCACTCCCCGCTCACCACTCTCCGCTCTCCGCTCAGCAGCAACGCTCCGAGCGAGGCAGAAACTCAAGTTATTTATGTGCTCGTTTACAACTTTCCGCTGCCGCTGCCGCTTTCGCTGCCTCCGCCGATTCCGTTCGTTTTGGTTTGGCTTTGCTCTGCCACTCTCTTCTCTTCTCTTCTCTGCTCTGCTCTGCTCTCCCACTGCTGTTCGTCGCTCGCGCTCGCGCTCCGTTGTTTGTTTGTTTGTTGCTGGAAACCACATTGATTGAAACAAACTTTCGCTTTGTGTAGCCAGCACCATCTAACGGTTTCTCTCTCTCGCTCTCTATCGGTGGTGGGCAGCTCATCTCCCTTTCTATCAGCAAGTGAGTGTCTGTCTATCTGTCCATCTGTCTATCTGTCGTTCCGCAGTTTGATTAGCGTCATTGAGTGACGTGAGAACTTTTTAATCAAACTTCTGGATGTCAGGACAGGCCCCGCAGCAATTAAGATATTTTCAGCGCAGACTTAGCCAAGCACTCCGCTCTGCTCTCGGTCTGCTCTCTGCTCTGCTCACTCTCTGGAGAGTCAACTTTGATTGATCTAATTTAAATGAGAAACGTTGCACCTCCGCTCAATCTCCTTCCATATTCAGCATGGGGCTGGCATGAAATATCATGCACAAGCCGGAGAATGGACTTTTTGATGGCATTTCTGTATCTACCCTGGAAAACACGCCGCTCTCGCTTGAAAATGGCAAAGAGTACCACACAAAAGGCGAGCTGCAAAATTGAAATATTTTGATGTGGCCTGCGAGAGAAAGGGAGAAGGAGATGGATATGGAGATGGAGATGGAGATGGGGCTGGACATCCCGCCTGCTCTCCACCCACTCGAAATGCCACACTACAGAGAAACCCCAAAGCACACGCACACATTCGTGTTGAATTATAATAAACCAGAAATGAGGCTCCACAAATACCGGAAATCGCTAGTCGGACAGGACCCGAAATCGTAGCCGGACTCTGGGACTCACACTCAGACCCGTATACGGGACGGGACGGGACGGAACGGGACCCAGACCCAGACCCAGGGCACGTAAAATATACGAGCTCACGTACGGATCTGGGATCCACCGACTGAGAGGTGGATATAGCCGAAAAGGGTGGACTTGGAGGGGTCCCGGGCAGGGATTGGGTTTGGGTTGCGTTTCCCTGCCCCTCCCTGACCTGCCCTGCCCAAACTTGTATTAATATCCATTAGATTTATGTTTTGGCAAATGTAACCACAGAAATTACGCTTTAAAGTCGGACCCAAACCTCTCCCCAAATGAGCTGCAATTTTTCGTCGATATCGAAATGGCCACACAGAGGCAGCAGAGACAGCAGTGGGAGAGGGATACCCCTACATTAGATATGGCCAGCAGAAAGGCGAACGGAGCAGTGAGTAGTGGCGGAGGGGCGAAATGTGGCAGAGAGTTGTTTTAATAGCTAGGGTCGGCCTCATAATTAAACCCCCCGGGTAGCACACCTCCCGCTCCACGCTCTCTGGGGCGCTGCCATTCCATTCCATTTCCGTCCATTCCCGTTCTTTCCGTGTGTCTTTTGGGGGATGCGGGTGGGGGGAAGATGTCTGGGCACGACACGTACTCCGACCATACATAACATGGACAACCATTTGGCTGCTTGGCTCCTCCGTTCGTTGGCCAAAACTTATGGATGGCGCACGGACCTTAACACTTTGGTGCCACATTAAGGCTGCAAATTGTTAAACGTGGCACTGTCCCACTCTGTCCCACTGTCCTCCACCCTCCAACACCTGAGCACTGCTTAAATGGGCGTGGCGTGGCGTGGGGTCCCAGGACTTATTACCCAAGTTCATTAGCATTTCGAGACCAAGAGACTTGGGCCAAGGTTGACTCTGGTAGGTGGCGCATCGAATGTCAGGCAATTGACACTTGACACGGAGCCGCTGACATGGGACCTGGACATGGGACATTGACTGCCTGAAGAGGGTGTAGCGGGTGACAGTACTCAGGCCAGGACTTGTGCTCCTGTACAATGAACTCCACTTAGAGCGCTCACTTCCTGGATATTTCATGATACTCCATCCCTGCCGCTCATCTCCGTCTCTGCTCGTCTCCTTTCTTCTCTTCAATCATCGTTGGATCCTCATCTTCTGTTGTTAAACTGCGTTGTTCCCTTTCCCACACCCACACCCACACCCCATAAAGACTTCTCATGGCCTACTCCTCCCTGTGCCCGTCTGACTGGAGAACTTTCAGTTAAATTCCCCCGCTTAAAGCAAATTTTCCAAGCGCTCTGCCGGCAACTTTTGCACAAGTTTTCCGCATTTTCATGGCAGTCAATTTGCTAAATCAAGAATGCGACAGCAGCAGAAAGGGCAGCACGGAATGAAAGGAGGCGAAAGGAGTCGACGGTGCGGAGCGGTAAAGATAGGAAAATAAATATGCCAGCTTTCAGAATGAATCGGAACTCGATCCCTCATCGCTGCCCGTCTGCCACGTCTGCCCTCCGTTTCCCCTTTTTATCCCATTTTCCTTCGCATTTTCCCCTATTTTTTATATGTATTTCACTTATTGATGAGTGGAAATGCCGTTGACATTATTTGTGTGGTCGCCGCCACTCGGTCGCCCAATGCAATGCAAATTTGTTGACACAAACTCGGGCCACAGCCAGCAGCCAGAGCAGTCAGAAGCAAAGAGCGGACCAAAGACGAACAGCAGAAAGAGAGACCACCGACCGGACCAGTTACCAGAGACATGCATATGTACACATATATATGTATACATCTAAACTACATCTACATCTACATCTACATCTACATCTATATTTATGTATGTATATGTAAGGCCTGAAAGTTGCTCGACTCTTCCAAGCGGCAATCATTTGCCCATGAGAATCAAAGTCTCGATTCTCGTAAAAATGATTCATGATATCGCATTATTTCCGTATCATTTGTAATTTCCAGTTTCCTGCTTATTTTGCACCACCCTCACCCGCCCCCGCCCCCCCACACACACACAGGAGACGGAGGAGGAACTGTTACAATTACTATCTATCTGGCATTTTATAACTTTTGTGCCACCCCCCAGCTCTGGCCCATGCTCATCCGTAGTCGTCCTCGTCGTTGTCGTTGTCGTTGTCGTTGGCTGCCTCCGCTTACCTCGAGTCTTGTACTGATTACAGCACCAAAGTCACAGTCACAGTCATAGTCAGGGATAGAGATACACACACACACACACACAGAGTCATAGCGGACACACAGATACAGCTAGAGAGACAGAGGCAAAGAGAGACAGAGACAGAGAGAGGGAGAGAGAGAGTCAGAGTCAGCGTCGAAGAGCTACAGTTGCAGGCGTTGCCATCATCAAGCTTCTCAACCTAAACCTCAAACTCTTAACCTCATCCTGCTCCTGCTCCTGCTCCTTGTCATTTGTGCTTTGTTCTCTCTTCTCCTGCTTCCTTCTTTCCCGCTTTTATCTGTGTGTCTGCCCAACACTTTTCCTTGTAGTTTTTGATGAACATTTAATTGAATTCTCTTACTACATCGCGCTTTGTCTCCCACCCACACACAGCATCGCTGGAAACACTGAGCAAGCAGCTCGTAGAAAGCATTATCATTCCCCCTTCTAATCATGCTTGCCATCATCCCCGAGAATATCTTGCTGAATGTAGACATGGAGACAGACGTGTGGTACCATATCCTCCTTAGCGTCTATCGTCTTGCCGAGATGCTTTCCCCCTTTCTGCTTGCTTTTCCAGCTTCTCTGACTGATTTTTCTGTGCTTTCTATTTCTTTGTGTTTCATTTTATTTTTATGCTTCTATTCGTTTAGTGTTTCAAGCATCTAATTAAAATTCCAATCGGAATTTGTCCAGCTTTAAGCTGGCAGATACGCAGATACAACGGGTAGTCAATGCACCCTGGAGATCCAACTTTAAATTACAGTAAACCAAAGGAAAACCCTTTCATCTGGGCTCCGTCTGGGGTTGACCTTTAAATGTACTCGCTCGAAGTTGAATGCTCCTTCAGGGGCTCCCAGAGCACAAAGGGGACAATGAGTTAATGTGGTGGTAGCTGGTGGCTGGTGGCTGGTGGGTGCTGGGTGCTGGGATCGATAAGTTCCACATTCCATTGGGCGCATTGAGACTCTGTACACTCGGAATGCCTGGCTGACTGGCTGATTGGCTAATTGAACTAGTTCCAGCTCCCTGCATGAATGCAATCAGCCCCAGAGTGTTGCCCCGAACCCCCCATGGACAAAGCACCAAACAGAACAAGCACCGACAAGGACCGACCGAGTGGAGCATCCTGATGGCGCTGAGGATGCTAATATCAAATGGTAAATAGATAAAAACAACATGACTTAATGAGTGGTATTTACTTTTATGCTAATTACTTTCGAATAAGAAGGGAGGCACAGCGCAGTGCAGCGCAGCGGAGCTCCTTTATGCAGCTCCTTTGATGGTGGCTGGCTCTCCTTCTGGGGGGAAGAGGAGAGGCAAGGCAGCTTCGTCTTCTGGCTGCTGCACCTTAATGACTTGAGGGTTCGGTGGCAATAATGGCACAGAGGAAGCCAGGCCAGGCCTTCTCCTCCTGCTGTGGTGTCGCATGGCAGTTGGAAACGATTGCCATTATGATACAAGTGCCACAGGACGCGAGCACTCGTGCTGAAAGCCGTAAACTGTGCAAAATGAGAGGACACTAAAGGTAGATCCTTGCACCCTACTCACGCTCCCTCGAGTGGGAGGGACTGCCCATGATCCTCCTCTAGTCAGAGCTGCGATAACTTGCGCAGGTTTTAGACACCGTTGGCTGCTCATGGATGATCATTTGGAGGCAAATCTCCTTGCGGCGCGACTCTCCCCTCAGCGCCTGCATGTCCATTTCGGTTAGGTGCAGCGATTTGCAGCGTCGCGGCTTCTCCATGCCATCCACCGTGGGATGAGTAGCATCGCTACCAGTGGCCACACGACGAATGCAGCTGCGCGACTGTGTCAGCTCTCCGTTGAAGGCCGTTATGGTGGCGTACAGTGGCCGACTGCCCGCCGCGCTCTGTGCCCAGATGAAGTACGATCCCTGGGGCGGTGGCACTCTGCCGGACTTGAGCTCTGCCTTCTCCTTCTCGTATCCGTCCTCAAATGTGTGCTGGCCCAGCACCAGCACCGGCAAGTACTCCCTGAACTCCTGCCGCGGACCTGCTTTCCTCTCGAGTGGCGCCCACAGCGGGACCTCTTCGACTCCCTTTTTGTTGCCGCAAAACAGAACCACGCCCAGGCACACAGTGCGGCAGGGCCTCAGCTGTCTGGGCTCGAAGGAAAACACACAGGTCTCCGAGTCGTGGGCATACCTCAGATCCTGTTTGCCCCGCGGCAAGTGCTCCACGAGCACGTGGGCCAGCAGATTGCAGGCGGAGAATGTGTCGTTGCATTCAGCAATGGGGCAGCCGATTGTCTCCTCACCCGCTGCCGCTGAAAGCTGCCCCCAAGAGGCTGAACCTGCAGATTTATCTCGAGCTGGCCTGGACCAGCAAGGCCGAGGCCTAGGCCGAGGGCGACTAACTGTGGCACAACTGTGCTCTTCATCCGAAGATGAAGCTGCAGCCGATGTCCGAGTGCGGGAACTTGCAACCCAAATCTGTGTTGGCACGTGTGAGGTGGCAGACGGTGATGCAAGTGTGGTTGTTGAGGGATTTGCCTCCTCATTTGGGTACTGTTTTCGCAATGCCTCCACGGACGGCGGCATCTCCAGACGCCAATTTGGTGACCAAACCGAAGTGGCTTCCAATGGCTCTTCATCCAAGTCTAAGCCAGAGCCCAAGCTCGATCCAATGGCCGAGGCACGATCTGCCGAGAACGTTAATTGAGGACGAGAAGTGCTTGGCCGCAGGCGGCTGTAGGGAGACGATCCTGTTGAAAATGGAAGCTGATTGCCCGAACTCCTGGCTGCCTCCACTGATGTTGGACCGAGCTGTTGCTTCTCCTCAGCCGATGTCCACATTGAATGCTGGCTGGCGTGCGGGCGTGCCGCTGGTGCCGCTGGTGGCGCTGGTGGCGCTGGTGACTCCAGCGCTGGGCGACGCCTGTGGCACGAAGTCTCCGGACAGGAAGCTACTGGCGCCCACTTTCTGGCAGCAGAAAAAGTCTCCTTCTCGTTGTTGTTGGCCATTTTGAACGCTTCTCTCTCGCTTTTCTCTACACTAACAATTTAACATCTAACTGAAATCTTGGAATTTTTGATTTGTTTAATTTGTGCCAAAAATGTTTGCTGCTCACGAATATTCGTCTAGAACTGAACTGAACTGGCTGGCAGGGGCAGGGGCAGGGGCAGGGACTGGGGCTGCTAAAGCTACTTGGATGAATCATTTTCTTGACTGTTTATTGTCTAGGAGCTGTGTCAGAGCTGATTCTTTCGCTTGCGACCCGGACGCACCGCGTAGACATCGTCGGGCAGCAGCTTGCCGAGTCGCGTGGCAGCGAGGAGGCGCCGCTCGTGCACCTTGCGGTGCTTGGTGAGATGATCGGAGCGGGCGAAGCACTTGGCGCAGTAGTCGCACTTGTAGGGCTTCACGCCGGAGTGGGAGCGGCGGTGGCGGGCGAGCTCGTCGGAGCGGGAGAAGCGCCAGGTGCACTCGGGCCAGCTGCAGGCGTATGGCTTTTCGCCCAGATGCCGCCGCAGGTGGGCCTTGAGGTGGGCGGGCTTGGCGTACAGCTTCTCGCAGTTGCCGAAGGTGCACAGATAGCCCCGCTCGCCCGCTGCATTCTGACCGAGTTGCGGCACGCAGCCAGCATCGGTGGCAGCTGTGACTGTGACTGTGACTGGCGGCGGCGGCGGCGGGGAGACTGCTGCTGTGGCGGCTGGTGCAACGTTCAGGCGCAAGTTGCTGTTGCTCTCCTCGAGAAAGTCCTCGCACATGTCCGTGCAGAGCGGCGTGCGCTCGGGCAGGAAGTCTATCAGCTCGGGTATCTCCACAAAGTTGTCCAGCAGCCGCTGCTCCCACTCGCTGAGCTCCGGCGGCGAGCGCGAGCCAACGGACAGTTCCTGTTCGCTGAAGTCAAACAACAATCCCTGCTCCTCCGCCTGCCCAATGTAGTCGTAGTCGTAGTCGTAGTCGTAGTCGTAGTCGCAGCTGCTCTGATTGTTGTTGCCGTCCAGTGTGATGATGCCGTAGTATTCGGTGTCCACCGCTGGCACCTGCTCCTCCGCCATGGCAGCCGCACAGCCATAGTCCAAGTCGTCCGAGCTGGCAGTCAGTATGAGATCGGAGGAGACTCCGAGAGCGCCGCCCTCGTCGTCCAGCTCGCTGTAGAGCTGCTGAAAGGCACCCGTGGCAAAGAACTCCATGATCACAAATGAACAGAGTCCGGCAAGTGTCCAAATATTTATGGCATTTGATATTCGATATTGATGGCACCGATCCAGCGATCCAGCGATCCACCGATCCACCGATCATGCTTGACTGAAGCCAAGTACTCGTCCCCGATCGTGGTCCAATCGTCGCTGATCCACTGATTTGTGGTGCTCTGTGTGTGTGCGCTCCTTGGGGAATAATTAGCCAGCCAGTCAGCCAGCTTCGGACTTTATCTAATTCGCTGCCGGCGTCATTAGGCTGGAGAGCAGATAGCCAGCCAGTGGATGGACCCCGGACACCAGATGTTTACCATTGATCGTCGTTGTTGTTCTTGTTGTGCAGCAACACACACATGTGTGTGTTTCTGTCAATTGTATATTCTCTGTGGCCAAGTGCCAAGCTGTGTCAGGCGTGGCGCGATAGCTGCGTCATTGATCTGTGGCCAGCTATGGGATAAGACCAGCCACGGCACCTGCTTTCCCTCTCTCTCTCTCTCTCTCTCTCTCCCTCTCCCGCTGTCTGCATTCCCATTTGCATGCTTGAATTTTGTTTTCAGTGTTTAATTGTTTTTGTTTTGGTCTGTGGGCCTATCAGCAAATTTGGCATTAATTAATGAGAATAACAGACAGAACTAGATATGCCCTGGGGGCTATCCCCAGATTCGATTGTTCAGCCACGTGTGTGTGTGTGTGTTTAGAGTGAGAGAGAGAGAGAGAGAGAGAGAGAGAGAGAGCTGGCAGATACACACGAGTTTGTGTACATTTCAGTTCGATTCATCAGCAATTCCGAGTATCCTGACATTTGGTCTCTGGGCGCGCACTTGCAATTTTGTTTGCCAGATTTTGCCACTCATCAAGTGTAATTTTCCATGATGATTGACCGACCCAACAACAGAAAAAACCATCTGGAAGCGGAAGCAATGGAAACACAGCGAAAACCTGCCAGCGAACCCTTTAGGAATTGAGAGACAAAACCGCAAGCAATCTCCAAGTGTAATCTTTTTAAAAACAAGATTCTCTCACTCACTTCTCCAGCTCCAGCTCCAGCTCCACCTCTTTCTCTTTTCCTTAGTTTATCCTGCTGCTCCCTTTTTGTGCTCATCCCTCCCAAAAGCGTATTAAGAGCATTATCTTTATCTGGCTTTCATTTGCGTGGAACAGCTTCATCTTCTTTGACTGCTCACATTCCGCATTTACGCTCATTCCACAGCTCCACCACCGTTGGCAGCCACATCCTAGGGGAATTTCACCCATTTTTGGCTGCGAAAATTAACATAAATTTAACGTGCGGCTGGCGTTTAAATTTACTTTTGCCTAATGAAATAATCAGGAGCTGTAAATCTTTATGGGCCGGGGGCCCGGCTGGGTTGTCTCCTGCAGCGCGCTTCACGCTAATTGATATTGCAAAAATCAAAGGCTGCGGCGCGGCATTAAAAAGGATTTAGGGGATATAAACACAGCGCGACAATGGGTTTTGGTTTGGTTTGGGTTTCGCTTTTCGCTTCTGGCTTCTGGATTTTGGATTTTGGAGCCAGAACCAGAGCCTGGGCCCTGCCTATGTGCCTGCGCCTGAGCCTAAGCCTTTGCCTTTGCCTGGCAATTTGTAATTACGAATATTGAGATTTTGATTTCTCTATATCCCTCCCTCCACCCGGTGTGTGGGTGCTTCATTTGAAGTGGCTGAGAAATCATAAATTAAGTGGGAATATTCTGTCTGCATGCCACTTTATGTATGTAAATATGTAAATATGTAAGTAAATATGTATTTACATTTATGCATCTAACTGTAAATGCAGCTCACACACACACACACACACACACACACAATCACTCTGTCTCTGCGGACCGCAAGTGTCATAACGAAAATGATGCATAAAATTATACTGTAAGTTGCACTTGGCAAAATGTTGTCACCTCGACTCAGGCCGCAGTTAAGCAACCCACACACAGACAGCTGCTCCCCCCCTCCCGGCAATTCCGAGACAGAGAGATTTAAAGCAAAACTGGACAATATCATTCCGAATGTCGTCCTGGCAGCAGTCAAATGAGCTAAGCGGTTGTCAGGATGGATCTCCGGGGCAGGGGAATAGGTCGAATGGGGTGGCAGGGTATAAATCAGTTGCCTAGTTAGTTCAAGTTTCCCCTTATCAATCGCAGCTGAGCTGCTTGTTTTCATTGGATTAGACAAGTTTGTTCTGCTTTCAAGTTCTGTCTGCAATTGTACGGAAGGAGGCAGGCAATACGCAGACTCTCCCACTCAGATGGGGGGGCATGGAGATGGGTCTGTGCAGGGGGGTGTGGGGATAAGGGATAAGGGATAAGGGACAAGCTTGGGCTCTGGCTTGGGCAATGTTATGCGGCTTATTGTTGCGGCGAATTAAATCGTATCTTTCTCTCTTTTACCATCTGCCACTGCCACGCCACTGCCACTGCCACTGTGTGTGTGTTGTGTAGCCGTATCTGTGTGTGTTTCTATTCATTTGATAGTTGTGATTGTGGCAAGTATTTAGGCATTCATCGGAAACATTCCTAATGCCATTATAGTACCAATAAATGCACGAAAAAATACCCGTACATACCCGTACATAAGTACACGTTATGAATTCCATTCTTGGCCACAATTCAAATCGAACATTCTATGCTTCATTTTGGCATAAGAATTCAATGGTTTTACTCTTGCTTTTGCTGTTGTCGGTTTGGTTTGGTTTGGTTTTCTGTGGCTTTTCATTCTGGCCGGGTGTTCGAGCAAAGAGGCTTAAATCAAGCGGTGGATCCATCTGTGCGGCTAAATTGAAACAATTACAAGAGGATTATGCTTGCAGTGGGTTAGAAGAATAAGTTTGCCATGAGATTCCACAAAAAACGAAAGGCTGTCCAATGCATGTCCTGATCGATAAGCAGCAGCGAACATTCCTCAAAAGTCACCAAGGATTCTGGTAGCGAGTCCACTAACTAACTAGCTACCTCCAGGCATTCGCCAATTAATTACCCAATTTAGCCCAAGCGGCGCCTCGCCAGACTCGTGCAAACTTCTGTAACTGTTCCATGGAGAGGCAGAGAGGGCTGCCACTTGCTGCAATATCTGCAGGCTGCAGCCTGCTGCTGGAAAGGGAGAGCAACAGGTCAAAACAGGTTTTGTGCTCTCCGAAAGCTAAGAAGTCTTTTACCCATAAAATAGTTCCACTTTGGGTTTGAGTTGGAGTTGGAGTCTCTTTCGATGTTGGTCAGTGGAAAGTTTTAATAAACTCGCCAAAGACAATATTTTATGTGTGTTTTTAGGGCAGGACGGCTGACCAGAGAACCGAACCAAGACAATAATTTGATTTTGGCCAGCTTTAAGGGAAGTGAAAAGCAATTTGCTGTGTCTCCACACGTTGCCAGGGAGAGACACATTCTGCCAAGGTGGCAAAGGAGTCTTGAGTCCGAGATTAAGTAAAATGCAAACATAATCCAGAGACAAGTGAGTTAACTGCTCTGACCCAATTTAATTAGACACAACGCTCAGGCTCAGGCTCAGGCACAGGCACAGGCACAGTCTTAGGCCGAGTCTTGGTGTTAGTACAATCTTCATGTGGTACAAGTTGCAGTATTAGCATTAGTATTTGCGTTGTTCTCGCCACCACCACCATTGAGGCATCAGCAGGGACACATAGAGGGAGGGGAGATGCATGCCTCATGGCTGATAGCTGATGGCTGATGGCTCATGGCTCATGGCAAGAGCAAAGCTAATACCCGTGTGTGGTGTGGTGTGGTGTGGTGTGTGTCGTGTGTCTGCCCTGCCACTAACCTTACATACATATCTACATATATATAGATGGTAGTACTAGTAAGCTGGATTTACACGCCATGCCACACCCACAGCCCACAGCCCACAACCCACACTCCCACCGACATACACACGTCCGAATACATCCACGAGAACACATGACA